GTCCGCCAAGAACTTCTCAAACCCAACCGCTGCGTCAGACTTGTGTTTAAAAAACAAAACACGCGTCCAACGGGAGAAATCGTCTCTGATGATCAGTGTGTNGACGCAAGCGCGGCATCAATGATCAACCCTAGCGCGCTCTCCGCTACACCAGTGTATTTTGGGGTGTGAGGGGGGGTGAACTCTTGTTTGATGCCGTGTCTGCGGCAAACTTCCGCAAACTGCCCCTGGAACTCGCCGCCACCGTCGGTACGTGCGATATAAACCTCACACGGAACCCCTTTCGTTCGGTAGTCCGCCAGGAACTTCTCAAACCCAACCGCTGCGTCAGACTTGTGTTTCAAGAAGAAAACACGCGTCCAACGGGAGAAATCGTCTCTGATGATCAGTGTGTACCAGTTGCCACCAATGCTCCTGGTTTTCATCTTTCCACCCAAATCGAGATAATCGCGAAATGACTTCTTAACTGCGCGTGTGCTCGTGCTCTTCTGGACGGGTTTCACCTTTCCCTTGGACATCGAACAGCCAAGACAGGGTAGCAGCGGTCCATCCGTCAGCTGCACTCCCTGCTGCTCCGCCGTGATCCTGAGCAATGTCTCGTGGGCATGGCCGTGCGCGAGGTGGTACTCGTTGAGGTCAGTGGGGTTGGCTGCTTTCGCATCGCCAGGAACAATGAGTGCGGCACAGGCGGTGTGTAGCGTTGGCTTTATTTGATAGCCTCGTTGGGTCAGCAGCTTTCCAGTCCGGGGGAACCACACCTCCCCCCCGGCTTTCGTGGTCAGCGTAAGGCCCCCCTTCATCCCCGAATACGTGTGGCCCTCCTCCGCCAACGAAGACAGCGAGAGGAGGTTGTAGGGGGCCTCTGGCACATGGGCAGCATTCAGTACTGGTAGGGGTACTCCACCATCTTCCGTCTGTAGAACTAAGTTCACATCTCCGTATCCTAGAAGCGGAACGGGGGTCTTGTCGCCTCCGATCCCCTTCACCCAACCGCTACGCTCACGGTAGTTCACGAAGTTGTCTGCACATCGGAACATGGAGCACGTGGCCGCTGTGTCGGCAACGTACACCGCCTGGCCTTATTCCACAACCCCCACTAGACCTACTTCACCAACGGTACCACACTCGCCTGGGGGGACTGCCACGGCACAACACGCCTGGTCTTCCACGGAGTCCACGTCGGTCTCATGCTCCACCACTTGCGCTAGGACGGCCTCCTCCGTCGCGCACTTTTCTTTGGTGTGGCCCCACCCCTCGCAGCGCTGTGGAATGCGAGCTCTACTTGCTCGCTCCGGTACTGCTGTGACAGCGAAACCGTGCTCTCACCGCTGTTGACGGGGATCTCCAAGCTCACGCTCTCTTCAAATTGTTCCAACAGGTTTGCGCCATTAGCTACCATGCGGAAATCATTTAGCCATTCGTTGAAAACTTTCGATTTCCCGCTGAACGGAGAAGTGTACCGCACACTTTGGTACCCCGTCGCTGGGGTTGTGGCTCCGCATCCAAAGCCAACAACAGCACCACCATCTCCCATGGCAGTACTATAATCTTGGTTGTGAGCAGCGGCTAACCTCACCTCTTGAGGGACAAAGCCCCCTGCTTCGCCGCTGTGTCGCCCTGACGGGCCAGACTCTCCAACAGGTTCACGCAGGTACTTCCCGTCCTGCGCACTCCCGGTCCATGGTGCCCCTCCTTCGGTGTTCGTGGACTCCGCGGCGGCGCTCTCCCTAGCATCGCCGCGATCAGCGGCACCCTCCATGGTGCCAGCTGGCTCCTCCTTCTTGCTTGCCTTCATGGTATTTTCCATTAGCGACATTCGCTGGCTCATCTGATCCGTCAGCGAGCTCATTTGCGTCCTCAGGGCCACGGGCTCTTCTCTTGACCTCTTTCTGTCTTCCGTCGCAGAGTCGCTGGAGGAGTCACCCCCATCTTTGCGACCTGACAGTCCTGATGGACTCTCCCTCGAGGGACTGACACTAGTGTGTTCGTATATGTCCTTTACTTGGAAGGGGAAGACGTTTTATCTCGTGTATTAGACACGCAAGAGGAGTAGGGAAGGGAGAAGTGAAGCCCTATTATGAGTTCGAGGGGTCCCCGCACATGCAACCATTTCAAGGTGTACATGTGCCCCATCTGCGTGCCCTCTAGTGTTGCTGGTAGATCCAACCAGTCCGTATCCAAACACACGAACACGTAGTTTACCGTTCACACTAGTGCGATATCACGGCATCTGCGAGCGGGCGTAGGCTTCTGGGGGTTGTACAATCACGTGCAATCGGTAGACTCCCACAACAACAGGCACCATGGAGGGCATCGACCTCTCCGCCCTTAGCGGGGAAGAACTACAACAAAAAGTGGAGGAGATCGTCCAGCAACAAGTACAAGCCGGACTTGAAGCCAACAGGATCAACGAGGGTGAAGTCACCTACGCCCAACCACCAGCCGTCAACCCAGTCCCATCTACTGGCAACCAGCCATCACCCTCCAGCCAGGGCAAACCAGCCACCTTCAACGACCCCAGCAGCGTCGCACACAGCTGAGGCCATTGCTGAAAAACAGGGTTTTGCCCGCTCAGGCACGTTACGCGTCAATCCTGGCTCAGAAATAGAACCTTGGCTTGGTAGCGTGGAGAAGGAGCAGGACTTGTAGTCTATATCATGTTCGATATTTTTCGTGGTAAGATTATTTCATATTTTCAGGAGGAGGGTGTGCATGATGCATTGGAACTGGAGGTCGAGGTCAAGGTCGGAAAGGGTGTGAATGTAGCAGAGCTTCGGAGACTTGTTGGGAATGATGTGGTAGATAAGTCTTTCAAGCTTTGGAATATTCTCATCAGCAAGGTTTTGTACCCCCCGATTCAGAGCTTGGTTCTGGCGTGTGAGAGTCCACAAAAAGGCTGGGAAACAGTGACAGAGTTTTATAAGGAGAAGAAGCAGTCAGAAACGTCGAGGTTGGAGCAGGACTGGAAGGAGTTGAGATGAAAGCGTCTGAGAGTCCACAGGACTATGTTGCCCGGGCAGGAGCCCTTGGCTTGCGTCTAGCGTCTGTAGGCATGATCAAGGGTGAACCATATGCCAACAAAGACATTGCAGGTGGCCTTCCCTCTTCGTATGTCGTGCAAAAAGGAATACTGCTTGCCCACGATGTCCTGACGTTGCGTACCCTTGAGACTGTGGTGAGGGACGCCCACGTGGAGATGGAGCGCGAGAGGAGCAAGGGGGAGAGGCGCGAGGTGGAGCTCGCTCTCGTTGCGTCCGGCATGGGCCGGCGCGGCGGGGGCAGTGGGGGGGCATCCGGGGGTCAAGACGGCGGTCACGCGGCAGCTGGCGGCCAAGATCGAGACAGAGAGAGGAAAAACGGATACGTGTTTAACGACGACTCCTACGGACTTTGCCCCTACCACCAGTCCGAGCTTCACACCAACGAGCAGTGTCGTTTCCAGCAGCAACTGCGGCGCGCGCGTTTGAGAGAGGGCGCCGAGGAACGTCGCTCGGGCGGCGGCAGCCGCGGTGGCGGCGGTAGCCAGCGAGGGGGTAGACCGCCGCCGGGGCCCTGCCGCAGTGGCGGGCGATGGGTGAGGATAGAAGGGCAGCAGCATCACACCGGTCATGGTGGCGGTGGCTGGAGCCAAGCCCCACCCCCCCCGCGACCTCTTCGTGAACGTGGGCCTGGTGGTCATTTGGGGCGTCACCCTGGGGGTCGTGGGCCCGCGGGACGCCACAGCAGCGATGGTCGTGCCGGGAGAGCGGGCAGGGAGAGGCCGGGGGCACGCGCGTTCTGGCCACGGAAGAGAGCAGGCGTACGTTGTGTACTACGCCCACGATGATGGTGGCTACTTCGAAGACTACGGCGACTACGACGAGGGATACTTCTACGACGACGACTACCACGACGCCGGGTACGCACACTACGCCGGCGGTGGGGACAGCTACAGCTACTCTCCGGGTACGAAGACAGCCGCTCATCTGACGGCGGCATCCACTACGTCTACTACCCTCCCGCTGGCGAAGATTCGTTATCCGAGCAGCCACGTCAGCCCCCCCCCGCGAGCAGCAGCAGAACCGCTTCCTCCTCGTCCTGTACTCCTTCTCCTGGCGCGCCTCCGTCTTCGGGCTACCTCCACCTCTGCACGGCACAATCGGTGCCTCTAGGCAAGTGTCACGCCGAAGCTTATATTAGTAGGGTAGGAGTGACGATTGGAGAAGAGTCTGCTGCGTCTGCTTCGTCTTTGCTGAGTGTGGAATCTAGTGACGGGCCACCTGGTAGCGAGAGATGGGTAGCTGACTCAGGAGCCAGCAACAGTTTTACCAACAGCAGCCTGCACATGTACGACCTGTAAGAGATCCCCGCCAGTAGGAAGTATGTCGTTGTAGGTGGTGGTCGACTGCTCGAAGTGCAAGCTATCGGTAGCATCAATCTTAGTTGCTTTCAGGAGGATGAGAATGGTGAAAAAACGACGATGTGTGTGAAGCTCATTGACGTGTCTGTAGTAGAGAGCCTGAGCTTCAACTTGTTTTCAACGCATGCTGTTTCACTGAAGCAACAAATCCTCCACGACGAGCGTCGTGTAACCCTACAAAATGGACTGTTCTTTGCTAGAGAGGAAAAAGCGTCTGCAGCGTTTGCCATGCGGTTGCCGTACGACCCATCTGCGACTATAGTAGACTCTGCTGCTTTGCCCGCATTCGTGACTGCCCCCGATTCCGCCCCCGTCGTTGGCTCCGCGCGTTCCCCTTCCCAAGAAGGGGGCTCCGCGGAATCATTGGTGTCCGTGTTGCGTGTTCCTCCCGATGGCTCTGCCTGCGTAGTACCTTCGGTTGATAGCGTCCCGCCCACCGGTCCTATCAGTGTAGTACCTGCGAGTGAGAGCGTCCCGCCCGCCGGCTCTGCCGACGTAGTACCTTCTTCGGGGTCCGANCCCCCGCCGTTGGCTCCACGCGTTCCTCTTCCCAAAAAGGGGGCTCCGCGGAATCATTGGTGTCCGTATTGCGTGTTCCTTCCGCAGGCTCTGCTACCGTAGTACCTTCGAGTGAGAGCGTCCCGCCCACTGGTCCTATCAGTGTAGTACCTGCGAGTGAGAGCGTCCCGCCCGCCGGCTCTGCCGACGTAGTACCTTCTTCGGGGTCCGAGTTTGCGTGTGTGGGTACTTTCCCGGGTATGGATCTTGGAGATACGAGTGTGCTCACCGACGAGCAGCTCGTGGATGGCTATGATGACACCCCGTATCAAGATGTTTTCCCGGTGTTTATCCCTCTCTCCCTTCTTCCCCTCGCTCCTCGACAAGCTTTTGCTTAGACATGGGTTGTAGTTTTTGCTAGATTTTGGCATTTAGCAACTGACATACGGTTTAATGTGAAGACAAACAACAACAACAAACAACAACAATCCCAGAGAGTGACGCTGCCAACGTGGCTGGTGTTTTGGATAGCATTGATGGGGCTGCTGATTTTGACTTGGGTGCGGCCGCACTTGGCCCTGGTGCGTCCCCGTTTGCTCTTGGTTCTGAAAGTCCGTTGACATCAACCGCTTCCACCGCTCCCTTGCCCACGCTTCCGAGCCGCTTTTGAGAGAAACTGCCCAGCAGAAAGGCATCGTGCTCACGGACAAGCTGGAACCGTGCAAGGACTGCATGAGGGCGAAGGGCAGGCGAGTGTCGGTGCCGGTGGGGCCGGGAGCACGGGCGTCTAAGCCCCTCGGGCGTGTTCACCTGGACCTGTGTGGACCGCTGGTGCCTTCCCTGGGCGGCAACCTCTACCTGTTCGTCGCCGTGGACAGCGCTTCGCAGTGGAACAAGGTCTACGGTCTCCGGCGAAAGTCCGACGCGCTGGCGGGAACGAAAAGGCTGCTGGCGCATGTGGGGCGGTACGACCTCGGGCGCATCGAGTGTTTCCGTGTCGACAACGGCACCGAATGGACCCGCGGCGACTTCCGGCGCTTCTGCGACGACAACGGCATCGGTGTCGAGTTCACCCCGCCTGGCGTTCCGCGGTACAACGGCGTCGTGGCGAGCGCCATCTAGCGCATCATGAAGGCCGGCATGGCCGCTCGCCGCAGCGCTGGCCGTGTGTTCAACGTCGACTTCGCCTCCATCCCCGGCCTCAACGAGCGCGGTGACCGTCTTTGGATGGAATCGGCGAAATGGACCGCCGACGCTCTCAACCAGTCGGCGTCCAAGGCCAACCCCGGGCGGCGCTCGCCGCATTAGATGTTCACCGGCAGGCAGGGGCCTTTCCGCGTGCTGCCGTTCTTCCAGCTCGGCTTCATGCGTGAGGATCGCCGCACCAAGCTCGACGACCAGGCCACCCTCTGCTACCACCTGAACGGCGGCGACAACCACCCGAGCGGCACCGTCAAGGTCCTCAAGGCGTCCACCGGCCGCGTCGTCTACGACAACAACGTGTCGTGGGTGACGTCGGCGCCAGCCGGCGAGCGGGGTTCCGCTGGTATCACCGCTGAGCCGAGACCACCCCCGTTCACGCCGCCCGTCGTCTCGATCAACTTTGGCCCAGCACCGACGCCTTCGACCGCCACACCGCGGCCGCCAGCGCCCACGCCGTCGCCTGCTCCCGCTCCGCCCCCTGCCGCTGCCGCAACGCCGCCGCCAGCGACCACGCCGCCGCCCGCTCCCACGCCTTCACAGCCGACCTCTGCCGCTTCGCCGTCACCGTCGGCGACCCTCGCTCCTGGCCAGACGTCCTCCGCCGCTTCGCCGTCACCGTCGGCGGCCCCCGATCCAGACCAGCCACCGTCGCCGCCGGACACCGCTATGCCCCCGCTTACGGCTCACGCCATGCGGCAGCTTCGCCCGGGTACAAAGGCCGAGGGTATGACAGACCCGCGACTGCCAAGCCGTACGAGATCGGGAACAAGGCACAGCACAGGACTCATCTCAGTGCTAGACAAGAACACTCTGGTGTCGATGCTGGAGGCTCGTAGCGCTGTGGATGAGGAGCGCAGGGAGCCGGGGGGAGCGGGGGCCGGAGCGCAGGCGGGAGCACTCGCAGCGGTGGACCCGGGGGCTGAGGAGCGGACTTTCCACTCGCATTTGCCACGCTCCTTGCCAACCGGGAAGACATCGACGCCACGCTGCGAGACCAGCGCCCGCCGGGGCAACGCCCTGACCTTCCGCACTGCCAGGCCAGCGGCCTTCGTGTTCCAAAGAGCTACAAAGAGGCCATGGCGTCGGAGCACCGGCACCTGTGGAGCGACTCTATGCAAAGGGAGTTTTATGGCTCGTTGGAAGCGGGGACTTTTACTCCGGCGAAGTAGCAACTAGTGGAGAACGCAATTAACGCTAAGTGGGTATTCGATTGGAAGGCAGATGAGTTTGGATGGCCCACTAAGGTTAAGTCGAGACTTGCAACGGGAGGTGATATGCGAGAGTACATTGACGTTGGAGTGTTGTACGCGCCTACCGTTTCTGTTTCGTGTGTTAGGATGTTGGCTGCTTGGGCGTGCGAGTTTAACCTCGACTTGTGTCATTTCGATATTGAGCAAGCTTTTGTGCGTTCGGAGTTGGAGGATACATGCGTTTGCCGCAGGGATGTGGAGCTCTATCTGGAATGATTGTAAAACTAGGCAAGAGTCNGGTGTTTGGTGGCGTTAGGTTTTGAGCAGTGCATGGCCGATGCTTGTGTGTTTCGTTTGATTGAGGATGGATGTGTTGTTTTGATTTTGGTAGTACATGTAGATGACATTTTTACTGTGGGAGAGAAGGAGAGATGTGACAAGTTTGGCGCCGACCTTAACATGCCCGTGCCAGTGAAGAACCTGGGAGAGTTGAGATGGTATTCTGGGTGCTTTTACGAGAGGAA